TGCAATGTCCCAAAATATAAAGAAATTCTAAAACATTTATACATACTTTTTCAAATCATAAATGATGATGATGTTCTCTTGACCGGTTCCGGCCACGGCGGCCAATCTCATTGAGACTAGCCAACTGCGCAGGAGATATTATAGTGCACAAGTGTACGCGCAGACACAACGTGCACTCTCTATTCCTGTCACTCTCATACTCCGGTGAGACGACTACTCGATATGAGCAGTGAGAGTTAAGGCGCAGGACCGACGGCTTTACGTGCTCTCCGAGGCACGGGGGTGAAACACCGCCAACTTCCCAACTCCGGGCTGTTACTGAGGCTTACTATATAGAAAGACTCAATAACTAAACTTGGTCCGACCTGAGACTAGAACCCAGGACCTCCGGGTGTGCAGCCGTACATGCTAGCCACTACACCACCGAGGCAAATCATAAATATCATCTCAGTAAGTTGCCTTCCTTGAATCGACCAGAAGGACACCGTATTTTTATTATCGACAACTTTACCGTATAGATATAACATTAAAAATGGCTTTCAAAATTTAAATCATGAGAATATCCAATGTAATGTTTCTCTCATTACTGAGGTTAATTCTTCTGTATAATTCATCCATTAATACTTTTATCTCGGAACGCGAAGGTACAAGGTATTTAAGTCCCTACCATCTAATTTGCTTTTTTACGCCTTGAAGTGTGAACCCCCGCAGAGCTTTTGCTTTGTACAGTCGAAGCGATAATTTTCATTATAATTCATAAATTATAATATTTTATTACCGTCTTTACATACCTACTGGATTCAATGGATAATTATGAATATGATTGTTTTTTTTTAATATTAATGTAAATGTTTGGATTATAAACTCATTGTTTCAATATAAAAAAATATATATAAAGGAAACAAAAAGGAAAGAAGCTAGTAATTTGTAAGCCCAAATTTTTTTTTTATTGTTTTAATAAAGAACTATCTAAATACTCGTATTATTCCAATATTTAAAATTCATAAATATTTCATACAATAGCATCTTTAAACATTTATTAATAAGTTAATTTACTATTAACATGATACTATACTAAGAAATTCTGACATGAAACTACAATAACAAGATATTCATAGTTGAATGAATACTTTCTTAGATTTACGCGAATATTTGACATTTTAAAATTATAAATATATATATATATATATATATATATATATATATATATATATATATTTAAAATTTAAAAATTATAAAAATGTTTAAAATAAAAAATAATTGTAAGGTACTTTGGTGCCATTTTCCATTTTTTTGAATTTTTTGAATTCATTTTGTTATTTGTGGGTAGGCTGTCTGTAACAACTATCTATAGAATACCTTCGAGACATCTAACACCTCAGTCTCTCCCGTGACCATGATTTCTGTAAAGCATTCGAAACGTCGGGAACCAAAAATCCAAATAAATCCGCGAAAAAATCCGAAAAGATAGTTTTATTTATTATATAAATAGTTGAATGAATTTTAAGAGAAATAAAACATAAATAAAAAAATATATAAATGTATATTAAATTAAGCAATATTGATGTCCTACTGTACACCACCCGCTGGCTAAGATATCCTTTAAAAATCCTATCTCGAAACCATTGTTAATATTTTTAATTGTAAGGATACTATTAAAATTGAGGCAGTGGTAGCCCTGTGATAACGCAATCGCTTGAAAAACCGATTGACACGGGTTCAAGTCCCGGGTCTTGCACCTCCGATTTTCTCATGTGCGAATCATTTCCAATATGATTACCACTTATCTTACGGTGTAGGAAAACATCGTGAGGAAACCTACATGTCTGAGAGAACCTAGCGAGTTTTCGGAAGGGATGAGAAGTCCGCCGACCCGCACTTGGCCAGCGTGGTATGGCCAGATCACCCTTGTATTGAAGGGAGCAGTACAGCAGTGGGACGTTAAAAAAGCGCTCAATACTATTAAAATAAATAGTAAATTTATTTATTTCATTTACAAAATACTTTAAAAGTATATTCAATTAAGAATCAAATAATGACTTGTGATTTTATTCTTGTAGCGATCCACCCTCGCTATTCTCAGGTCTTTGCACTCTGAACGGCCACTAGAAAATATTATACTATACAAATTATTGTTAACTCAGACTAAAAAATAAGATGGATGAAGCGTGTAGATGATAGTGATTGAAGCATTATATGGTTATTATATTAATTAGCTATTTGTAAGATCTGTGTTGCCACTGTTTTCACATAATCTATATAGATTAATAAAATTGAAGTGTCTGTTTGTAATGTCAAAATAACAGCTTTTTATATACGAAATTGTATACAGTATTAAGAAAACACAATTTTTCAAAGTTTTGTCTGTCTGCTTGTTTCGGCTAATCCCTGAAACGGCTGAACTGATTTTGACGGGACTTTCATTGGCAGATAGCTGATGTTATAAGGAGTAACTTAGCCTAAGTTACTCCTTACTTTGATTTTAGAAAAAAAATTAGGGACCGCTGAAAAAAATTAAAACGTACCTAGGGACGCACCCGAGCGAAGCTAGTATAAGTCGCTAATTTGTTATAAGTAGCAAAATTAACAAAGTAAATATACCAATTTTACTTCTAATATTTTTCGAATTATTTTGTTTCAAACTTCATTAGAAATAAAATGATAACAATTATTCCATCTTTAGTTGAGGATTTTTTGGATGTGTGTATGGGACCATTAATAAAGTATAACTTGTTTATCTATTAAATAAAAACTTAAAAAAAAACCTACTTCCAGGCACTAAAATGTAAAAAATAACTAAACGGGGGTTTTCATTTAGAATAGATACCTAATCAGATATTTTCGAAGTCGGTGCCAGCTGATGCAAAGCAAATCTAATATATTTCGATACGTAAAACTCATAAATATTTACCTATTAGATATTCTTATCTTAAAATATTGTCCGTTGGCACCGACTTCGAAGTCGTATCAATAAAAATTCTAAGTCTTTCCCATGGTCTCAAGCTATCGTCTTACAAAATTTCATCTAACTCGGTTTAGTAGATCCAGAGATTATCCCCTACAACGTCACAAACTCACAAACTCACAATTAACAAACTCACAAACTTTACATCTTTATAATATTAATATAGAAAAGTAATAATTAGATTTTCTTAGATAAAACCAGCTATCATTCAGATCGGTCAGCGGAATTCATGTCGATAGCAAGTATTGAATTAAGGCACGTTCGCAAAATATATTTTACAACGACTCTCAAACCAAAAGAAAATAAAATGTAATTAATTAATATGATAATTAAAACCAGTAGAACTTAAGTTAAATATTATGAAGAATATTTTTAAATTTGAGTCTGAATGATTGATGATGATCAAAACAAAGGTTTTGAAAATGTTATCTGTCTGTTTGATGGAGCATAACTCAAAAAACACTGAACGAAATTCGATTGGATTTTTGTAAGAACAGTAATCTAGTTATTATAGTTATTATGCCTAAAAAAATCAAAGTGACATTAAATAATAATAAGATGAATATTAATTTTGTTTTAATGAAATGAATATAATGTCATAATAATTATAATGATAAAAAAATGATTTTTTAATTAAGTTAGTTGTATTAAAAGCCCTTAATTTCCTTTTCTTTTTTTCTTTTTTTTTAGGACATTACCACACAACACCATCTAGTTCCATGGTAAGCTACGAGGCTTGTATTATGGATACCAGATAGTTGATACATTATACATATATAAATTTTAAATACATATATATATATATATATATATATATATATATTCGTGCTCAGCACTCAAATGAATTCCCCCAGCGGGACTCGAACCCGCGACCGCTGGCGCAGCAAGTAGGGTCACTACAAACTGAGCCAAACGTGTCGTCGAATTATATACGCTGTTTGTAATAAAGAGAAATTGTAATTCTGGGAAATTGTCTTCTCCTTCTAGTATGTAGAGCTTATAAAAATACACATAAGTTCTATAATATTTTTGTTTCAATAAAAATTATATAAATTTTGTTCTTGTTCATGAGTAAAAATATAACAAAATATGCTAAAAACAAATTTCTACCAACCATTTTAACTCAAGCCCTTTTAACGATTTCAGCCACGGCGGCCAATCACATTGAAACTAGTCAAGTGCACTAGATATATTATACCGCAGAAGTGTGAATGCCCTAAAAGTCCGGTGGGATAAATCTCAATACGACCAGTGAGACATCAGGCTCAAGACCTGACGACCTGGCGAGACGAGATATGAGACATAAGCACATACAAGTTCAATTTAACATAAGACGGTTTGAAGTAGAATTTTCAATCTTAGCAAGCTACGAGTATTCGTCTGCACAATAGCGGTAAAAAATAATTGTAAATAACTATTTTATATCGTGAAACTTTTGAAACTATACTTCTTTTGGGACGTCGAACGTGCACATACCGACAGCCAATAAGCGACATGATGAAGTTAGCTGATAATTGTTTGTTGCCATGGTAACCGTTGTTATTGTCTGACAAAATATGATATATCTGTACTAATATTATAAAAAGGTAAAGTTTGTGAGTTCGTGAGTTTGTTAATTTGTAAGTTTGTAACGTTGTAGGGGGTAATCTCTGGATCTACTGAACAGATTTAGATGAAATTTCTTAAGAAGATAGTTTGAGATACTGGGATGGGAGGATATAGGATACTTTTTGACAACATCTTTAGCTATTTTTGTGTTACGCCAAATAAGTATAACTTCTTACGTGCGTACATAAGTACACACGCACGCTTTTTTATTATTATTGAGTATGTAACACGCCACAAACATGCTGCCCTTATCTTTTTTGAGCTCTTTTTTTGTTTTACTGTGATTATGAATTACAATAAACAATTACACTCTGTATGAGTTGATATTTGAGAAGCACTGCCAAATAGCAAACGTCGGTATAATCATAACAATATGTGACGAAGCGACAGTATTCTGTCATCAGTTGCAATAATAACGAGTGGCAAAATGGTCAAACGCATTCTATGTTATACTGCTGTTTTAGTGTGTTTAAATATCGTATATGGAACACCTGCCAAAGGTTTGTGAATTTATACTTAAAGTTATAGATAGATGAATGGTGATTGTTTATCCTTAACGTGATTTACAATAGTTTATAAAATGACTAAGAGAGGACATATGTACATAGATTGTAATTTTCCAATATCTAGAACAATCCATGGGTTATTATTATTAGAAAAATTAGAATATATAAACAGTTGACCACTAGTTATACTATATTTATTTATGTATTTGTATTAAAAATAGTTTTTTGTTAAAGAGCATACGAACACACACACACACACACATTTTGTAGTTTTCATTACAGTATACTTACTCATATTGATGTTCAAATAGGTAATTTTTAAACAATATTTACGAAGAAGGTTGATAGCAATGCTCAAAAAAATGACACTAAAGATTTGCCACGAGGTCTTTTTAGTTCATAATTAAAAAAAAACTTTGTTCGTACATTATAACTAAATACTGATTCAAGTTTCTGGTCTAAGTCCTATATCAGTAGTGAAAAGTTATCTGTTGGTTACTAATAATAGATGAATAAATTATCATCGATCTGAAGTTGTGGTTTTCTTTTTCTTTTTTCTTTTTTTTTTAAATATAATATGCACGTTAATTTAACTTAAAAATCCTATAATAATTTTCATAAATTAATATAAAAAAATATATCTATATAGTATTAAAGATAACAGAAAAAATACATAATTTGAGATTCTAACATAGGTAATAGGATCATTTATATTAGTCAAAAATATAATAAATCTTAGATGTAATGAAAACGCCGATACCATAATCCAGGCGATAGAATAACGCTATTAGTCTGAACAAATATTATTAACACTAGAACGCGAATACTATTTTCGTAAATGAAATGTCAATATCTAATACCCTTTGAATTAATATTATGTATAATAACATACATTTAACATTAATATGATATAACTTCATTCTTCATTCTATGGCCATAGTTTATTTCGAGATCTGCAACGATTAACAATATCTAGTGCATTGTTTATTGAGAATTTTTTTAAATAGACTTCCTCTCTCTCTCTCTTCTCTTTCATATATTTAAAACTCTTTTTTATATATTTAAAATATAAAAGTCAAATTTGCTGCAATATTTTGTTACAATGCTGTTTTAGTAAATAGAACTACATTTTTACAAGGTATAATTCATGGGAGAGCTATTTTTATACTAAGCAATATTTTCTCCCGGCGAGACGTTTTCAGTGACTATGTTTGAAAGTCATAATTAGAAAATCAAACTAAAAATGCGAGAACATCCAAAAAATAATGTCTTATTTAATATGTCTAACTAATTTAACATGTCGAAAATTCGCATAGATAGAAAATATTATACAAAAATATATACGTGTTAATACACGTTTTATTTAAAAAAAAATACTTTAAAAAAGTTTCATAGTAAATACTAGTATGAAGAAAAATGTCAAGTACAGAAAATAAAACACAACTAATTTTATCGTTACAGGCCTATTTTGTCAAGATCCAGATACTGGGAAACTTTACCCAATAAACTCTACATGGCAATCCGAAAGCTTTTGTGGCAATTACACTTGCAAACTTAGAAAGAAGAACATTACTGAGACTGAATATACGCCAATAACAAAAGTAAACATTACAAAAGACAACTTGAACAAGAAAAACAATATCTTACAAGACGACATGTCAACAAGCCCGAGTGAGAATTCTTTTACTGTAATAAAAAACGTAGATCCAATCAAACAACCCGTCTTTAACAAAGATAAGTACAAGATTGATGAAATAAACGCTGATAGTACGGATAGATATTTGACAGAATCGGAAATAAGTACGATTACTGAAATACTTCATACCGTTAAAAAGAGTGACTTAGAAGCTATTATCGAAATATATAACCTAGCTCAGGAAATTTATGATGAAATGGATAGCACAAATGAAAAATTAGTGAAAAGCCCTTTTGATAGTTTAAGAATTGGTGAGAATGAAAATAAAAAAAATAAAAACAAGGACTCTATTTCATATTGGTATGAACCTTTACAATATGGCAATAAAAAATTAAAGGATCTTAAAACTGAAATGACTAATGCTGTGTCTGTCACTAAAACTTACCCAAATCCAACTACCTATTTCAACAGACCTGTGCCAGATAAAGAATTAATGAAAATGCCGTACTACTATCCAGTATCAAACTTTCAGAGAATGTCATCATATATACACAAACCCTATAGTATACCACAACCAATTATAGAGCCACCAAAACCTTGTAATAAACATGTCTACCCACCTTGGTATTCAAGTAAGCCAGTCATTCCTCAACAACCAATGCTACCATATCCATTTTCTTATGTACATCACTACAATATGAGTTACCCAGCAAGTTTTTATTACAATAGCTTTCCATGGGCTCAATTAGATATATATAATCGTAACAAAAATTACCAACAGCCTTATGGCACATATTTCCGGCACGAAATTTCAAATGCTGTACCTGAAGAGACAGAAGTAAAAGACGTGGAAGATGAAAACGAAGTTAAAGAAGGAAACAATCCATTAGATGAAGAAACGTTAAAAGTACCTGAATGGCAAACTGATGAAATACCAAAGAATGTGTTAGATGAAGTTAAAGCAAATATTGTAGAAAAATCTAAACTGCTGAAACCATTGTCTTTAAGGAAAAATATTAAATTGGAAAAAGTTGGAAAGGTGATTAAGCTAGACGAATTGTTAAGAAAAAAGAGGAATATTATCAGCAGTGATACTGATGATGTTGAAGGCGATCAATTTGAAGCTCATATTGAAAGAACAACGTAAGTAGTGTAAGAAATAGCCCTTTGATTCAATGCCACAAAATTAATTTATCTATTTAAAATAATAAAATTATGTCTGTTGTTTGTTAAAATATGTGTATATATTTTAGGGTTAGTTTAAAAATCATTTAAGTAGATTTCTTAATTATAAGTGACTTGCTTTCTTTTTGCTCAGAATCTTCGTCGAATTTTATTCACTGTACCTATTTACAATTCTAAAGGCATATTGTATTGATATATAACATATTTTCGACAAAATTATTCTATCAAAATTCAGGTAAAAATAAAACTCACTACGTAAAAGAGAAACTAAATTCACAATCAGACAGACCGTTATCAAAAGCAATGATTTATCTAATATATATGAATATAGATATAACAATCTCTAAATAATATAAAAATTTTACTACTATAATATCACTCCAAACAAAAACAACAACAATGTAATGTTTAAGCTAGTTTTCTATTATACTTTTACAACAGATCCAGAAGTGACAACCATTCACTAGCTAGAAAGACAAGATATTACTCTTAACTAAAATATTTTTTTTAAAACACCCCTAAAATATAAATCTTTTTAACGTGACAAATATCAAGGGCTGGCTTTATAACGCCCGGCTCGAAAAAGTTGACAAATTAGCGACAAAAAACATCGGAATGCCGACCCTTTGTCTCGACAGATGTTGTGTGCACTTTATCATTGTTTTTTGAATTATAAAAAACTAATTTTAGTTGGGATAGTAAAGCACCTGCTTCCTCGCGGTAATCAGGGATTCGATATCCTATTGAATTTACTAATATAGTAGTTGGAAAGTTAGCGGATACGGGTCTTATCCGTTTCTTATCCGCGGAAACTTATCCGTGTATCCTTATCCGCATACTTCATATGAATATTAATAATACGATAGTCTTTTTGCTGTTAATTTTTTAAACGGCAACAGAGCAAATAATAATCAAATATTTTTTTTATAGAGATACTATAAGAGAGTGACGAAAAGGCTATTTTATCTACGAATCAGTAGTAAATTGAAAATGGCCGTTTAATATGAAAATGCGCATAAACTTAAAAATAAGAAAATTCAAATTATAAAGCTACTGCAACATAAATAGATATGTCTATTAATTATACAATTTTAAAGAACAATTAATATTTAATAATGACATATTAATAAAAATATGTGTATATAATTAATAAGTTTAAACTAAACCACTTTTCAGATGTGAATCACTTTCGACGGAGCCAGGTTACTTTAGAGTTGGAAACGCATCTGAGCCGTATCCAGCTTGCTGTCCGCAAAAGATACAAAAGATAAATAACCGATGAATACAATTAATTTAGTCATGAACTAAGTATTAAGAATAAATAATAAATATATTTTTTTATATTTATCTCATGTTTCTAATTTTTTCTTTTTCTTTTTTTTCGGCAATAACGGTAACTTGATATGGAAATTCGAACCCCAACCTGTTCATTTAAGTCAGTACGTAACACAAAAAGCGGTAAAGCACTAGGCAATATTTTATTTATTTATTTAATAAGGTTTGCTAGTAGTTATACTTACAAAAAATCTTTTAAATTAAATCAATTAAATAAAGCACAATTATATAGTAATCCATACTAATACATATTATCCATACTAATATTATAAATGTGAAAGTGTGTTTGTTTATTTGTTTGTCCTTCTTTCACGTCGAAATGGAGTGACGGATTGGTGTGATTTTTTGTGTGGAGATAGTTGGAGGGCTGGAGAGTGACTTACTTTTTACAGTACTTTTTACCGCGGTAGATTATCTAATTTCCACAACAAAACACGTTATAATACGATCTAAAAAAATATTTATTATCAGAATTACTTCAAACTTGGTATTAATGCTCTTCAATAAAATTAAATAAATATGTGTTTTAGCATTTTTCCAAGTTCATCCCATAAGGTAAAATAGGGGATGAAAGTTTGTATGAAACTATCTTTTTAGAGATTTTTTTGTAGTTTTAGCGCGAGCGAAGTCGACGGTTCTGCTAGTAGAGCATAATTATATATAATCGTTTAAAAGCAAGCAAAACTTGCAAATTCTTGTGTCCGTTTTCACAATTATAAAGATTACAAAAATATAGTGATTAATAATTCAGATTAAACATTAGGTTAAATAAATTAAATAAATATGTAGCAACAATTATAATACAAATGTAACTATTGCAATATTGGACAGAACAAAGTTTGATCCTTATATTATTGCATATTTGGAACATTTTTGTATTTTTTTAAAGTATTTATAACTAACTTTACAACAAATTAAAAGGTACTTAAAGTCTATGGGAATTATATATATTTTTATGATATTATAACGATTGAGTTTGTCATTTCAATACAATTTTTAAAATTTCCATTCTAAAAGATTACAACTATCGTCGGATAGCTGCTATATTTTTTTGATGATCGCCTTCGCGAAGTAGTTTTGCGTTGTTAAGCTAATCCGAATCAAAACCTAATTAAACTAAAACGAATATCCTTTTAGTTTTCTTAAAAAAAAAAAAACACTTTGAGCAGGAATCGAACACATGACCTTCACAATAAACGATCTCAAAGAATCAAAGCTAAAAAAACTAATATCAAAAGCATTCCTTCATAAAACGATATATACTTTTTAATTAACCAAAACATTTAAATAAGCAGTAAAAATCCTATCAGCCTAATTAAATTTATTCTATTCACAACAAATTAAAGGATATCTTAACTAGTAACGAGAGAGGACGATTTTAAAATTTTGTTAAAAATACATTAGTCAATCTACAGTGCCATTGAGAGGAGCCGAAAAGATAGTTGTTAATTTATAATTGTACAAAAATGTAATAAATCAACGCGAACGTCGCATCGCTGTGTGTGTGCGACCAAAGTTGGGGTTCAATTTTTAAGATTCCCTACTTCAAACGGAAAACGCAACTTATAGTATCTATTCATTGTCCGTCTGTCTGTTTTTCTTTATATCAAGACCCGTTTCTTCTAGAAGGCTTGGAGGTATCAAGAGTAATCAACACTCGCAAGGAAATCAAAACTTATAGGGTACTTCGCGTTGACCTAGAATCGTGTAATTTGGCATCAAGTAATGTCTTAAAGCACAAGCAAAGCGAAAAATCTGAAAATTGTAAATTTTGTTGTTACATCACGATTATTTTTTGCGATTATAAACTATAAACTCATTTTAATGTTATATGCTAAGGAACCCTCAGTGCGCGTGTCAGACTCGCACTTGTCCGATTTTTTAGAATACAGAATTAGAAAGTTATGAATGAGATCAGAGATGCGTTTGTAAGTTCTGAGCATTTCAGATGAAATTAAAAAAATTTGAAGACAATTTGACAAATAGTTTTATAAAACAGTTGTTAGACATACGAAAAAATACTCTCATACAGTAAAATGTACATATTTCTATAATGTTAATATTTCAATTTTTATTTATGTAGATGCAAATTTAGCTCAAGTTCAAAAAAATTGCACGAATTCACCAATCCGGAAAGAATCATTTAAAAATAACTGGTTATCAAACTAGGTGCGAATAAATTTTTTTTACGTTTTTTTTTTCATTTTTTCTAAAAATTTTGTACCAAATATACCGTTGATATTGAAGTTAGAAATCAATCACTACAAAAAGTAATTATTATATGAGACAAATAATAACAAAAAAAAATCAAACCAAAAACAAACTCGCAATATTAAACAAGAAAAAGAAAAACAAAAAAAATATTACAAAGCATGAAAGATGCTCCAGAATCAAAACGAACAATACTATTCGAACTAGAATTGTGCTGCACATTCGAAGTTATCATACTTGAAAAATATTCCATCTAAGTTTTCCAATACCTGATAATAAAACAAAGCCATTCAGAATCAATCGCTACAACCGTTCGAACTAATGGCCTGACAATAATGCCTACATTTTATAAAAACTGTTCATTTAAAAAAGCATTACCCTTCTTGGCCTGAGTGACTTATTGCATGTAAAAGGAGGAAAAAATACGCCCTCTTCCAAGAAAAAAAGGGACGTAAGATGCGTCAAAAATATTTAAATTAAGCCCTCCCTTAATGTCGGACATTATTTTTTTATCGACATTTCAAATAAAGATATGTCGAGTCTTTTGGGAAACGTTATCTTTTGAATAAATATACCCTCTCGTTGGTTTTGGTAGTTTAACTGCTTGGTATGTTTTTGAATATTGGTATATTATAAAGATGGAGTCAATAGCAGATCTTTATATAAATAGGTAAAGGCAAAATAGTACCTTTTTCACTTGTATTTGACTTACTGATGACAAGCTTTAGTCTAATGAATTAAAAAAAATATAAAAGTGGGCGGTTTAAAAATAGCTCATACAATGTGACTAATTATTAATTGCATTTAATACGACTAATTATCTTAGTGTTTAAAGCATCCAACTGCTGGGCAAGGCTTCTCATTAATACGTTGAGGATCAGACCACCACGTTGGCTAGTTGCAGGATGGTGGACTACAAATCATTTCTTTCGAAAACTTGCTAGGTTCTCTTAGACGTGCAGATTTCCTGACAATATTTTCCATCATCGTCAAGTGTTATTCAAATTCAAATTCAAAATATTTTATTCAGCATTAAATTATTACAATTTTTATTAAACGTCATGAGTCTACTACCAGTTCGGAAAGAAGAAGCCTCAGACCTGAGAAGAACTGGCGAAAAAAACTCAACGGGACTAATATTAACTCGTTATCTGTTTTTTAAAGTAAAATATTAATATTAAGTTATTTATGTTATAAAAAAAAATTTTGCACTTAAGAATATGAGAGGTACCCAGGGCTTGAACACATCGCTTGATTTTTCTACCTAAGTTAATTATCACTGGGCTATGACTATTGTCATTATTTTAAGACACTTCTAAATATTTCTAGTTCTATGTTCATTTTTTTCAACAACTTAAAGTGCTTTACTCTCCTCACCCAAAGTATCGTTGTATTTATTAAACTTTTATAAAGCTCTTTATCTGTCAATCATCATTTACATTTTTACATAATTTTTTTAAGAAAAACCTTTTAGCGTAAGTCAAAACTTTTTAACTGCGATCGTAACATAATTGAATAAATGAAAATGAACATTTTTTTATACTTAGAAGTAAAGTCTGGGATTATTATAATTGATTAAATGCATTTTTTTATGTAAATTATCATTTATTACTTATTGTTATTTTTATCTGATTTCTAAAAAGGCTAATATTTGGGTCTTATTTTTATTCTTATATATCACTAGCGTCTCACCCTCGCTTCGCATGGGTTCGTCTCTACTTACGTTTTAACGTTTAGTATAGATTTCTCAGAAATGAGATATTTTCCCGCAATAAAAAGTATCCTATATATTGACCTGGATAACCAACTATCATCATACCAAATTTCATCAAAATTCCTCCAGTTGTTTTTTCGTGATGCGGTAACAGACAGAAAGACAGACAGACAGACAGAGAGACAGACGAAAGTTCTAAAAACTTCGGCTTCTATATCGACACTAAAGTCTATTTCAATAAGATTTTCCAAAAAATATTGAATGTACAGATTCGGTTTAGTTAGAATTTTATTATATGTATAGATAAAACAGCGGTAGGTAGCGCATCTGATTCTTATGATTACCATGGGTTGTCATGGATTTCATAAAAGTACCTACTAAATGTAATATTTTAAACCAAATTATGATATTCTAAATGTGATTAAGTGAGTGATAGAGGTAAAGCAGTGAATTATTGAGTGATATTGTTGTTTCTTCACACTATAACAATTAATAATCTATATATATATATAAAAGAAAGTCGTGTTAGTTACACTATTTATAATTCAAGAACGGCTGAACCGATTTGGCTGAAACTTGGTGGGGAGGTAGCTTAGAACCAGGAGACGGACATAGGATACTTGTAAGCCCGTTCGACTGCGTTCCCGTATACAAGACTCAAGAACGGCTGGACCAATTTTTATGATATTTGAATTTTTGGATTTCTCTCATTCCGGAATAGGTTAATACCTAAGTATTAAAACGTCAGAAAAATTAACGAAAAAAAAAATTTATATGGCTAATAACACTGGCTAATAACTATTTATATCTATTTAAAACGTACCTAGCGACGAACCCGAGCGAAGCGAGGGTGAGCCGCTAGTTATTATTAAATTTTCAATAGAAAGTTAGAAAAAAATTATTTTATTACTAATATTACCAAAAATCACCTTAAAAGGAGACTATCTATGCAATGTCTTATACTAAGTCACTAAACAAAAAAAGGTTTAAACATTAGTGGAGAAACTAAAGTCGGCTTA